ATTCTCTAGACCAAAAAAACCGAATTCTAATTTGGTTAGGAGTGTGTTGTTTAATTTTCTTTTGACTTGATTTAGAAGTATTGTGTAAGGGAGCTTGTGAAACCTCAATTAACTTGAATTAAAGTGGAAGGAACATATAATAAGAGCGAATGCTTTTATTTACATATAAAGGTTGAGATGCTCAAAAGTTTCAAACTTTAGAAAACAAATATTTACTTGCGGTTAGTATATAAATTCTAACTTTATATACATTTATTTAAAACGGATCAATCCATCTTTTTATGTAATCGCAAAATATTTGTTATATGCTATATATACTTTATTGTGGAATAATCAATCTATGGAGGGCATTAAACAAAGAAGCAAGGCTATTATTGGGGAATTCTCATGGGCAAAGAATCAAAAGGATTGTAATAAGAATATGGCAACATTAAACTTTACACTCAAAAGTACAATGATCTAATCAGACAGCCACAAGAACTGAAAGTACAATGCTATAATGAGTAAAATTCCCAAACTACAATTTTACAACAAAAAACTGAAAACAATGCTCTAATATGAAAATGTGGTTATTCTTTGCCATTTCTTGCATTCAACAACTTCATATTCAATGAGCATTTCCATCAACCTCATTATATTTTTTAGCATCAGGTACTCTTCTTAATACACAAAATCAGAATAAGAATTCTTGAATAAGACTTGGATTCTAAACAAATGGCTTGGTAACAGGTGTTCACCCTTGCTTATGTGAATATCCAAGTAGCAGTCACCTCAAGCTGCAAAAATATAAATTAAAAGTCAATAAGTCTACACTTAAATGGAATAAATAGCAACCACGACAGAAGAATGAACATCCTATATGAAGGCTAGGATAAAAATGTCCATATTTCAACAAACCCATAAAAAGACTATAACATCAACATAAAGGGCAAAATCGTCAAAAGCATGGCCTATGAGCATTCCGAAGGTTGTGATAATACACATTTTGGGTGGTGCAAGTTGCAGAAAGCAAATTAATTATCAACAATTCAACATGCTGCAATCAAGAAACCAAATTAGATATTTACCTACCAGTTAAGAAACCAACTCACAATTAACTAACCCTGGTAAAAGAAAGAAACTCCAGTTGATAATGTTCGTAGCCATACAGCAAATCAGAGCTAGTCCTATAAGAAATGTTAAAAAAAATAAAAAAAAAATTATAAAATGATAAAAGATTTGAGCTATTACGAAATACCATCAATTATTCATTTTAAAATTGGGTTTGTTACAAATTCTTGAGGTAGAATGTGAAGTTGTAGGATAATTCTTGGAAAAAGGGGAGTCAACAATAGAACAGAAGGCTACACTGATTTTAAATTTTAAAATTAGTCTAATTTCTCATATTTATTTAAAAAGTAGAGTGAAAAGAATAAACCTATAATTATAAATCGATGGAAATATTATAAAATTTAGTTCATACAAGCCCAAAAAGTCCAATTGGCCATGCTTCAACAGTTGCACCAATTTCTTCACCACAAAGTGAGTCATGTATATGGAAACAATTAAATGGTTTAATAACCAAAATGACACATTATTTGCCAGTGGTGAATAACTAAAAATATCACTTTCTTTGATAAGTATATATATATATATATATATATATATATATATATATATATATATATATATATATTACTTACATGATATGATATATGAAATATCCCAAAAGTGATAGATTTTTTTTAGTACCAGATAGATATAACAGATGGATGTCACACAAGTAACAAACCATCAGATAACACCCACCCAAAAATGCTTCCAAGTAACTAAAAATATCACTTTCTTTCATAAGTCATGTCATGTATATACATTTTTCCCTATTTGTAACTCTGAAGGATTGTGAAGAGACTTTCATCTCCAAAAATGTTTCCAAATAGCCATTTATAAAGAATCTGTAAGTAGCATCATTTTAAAGAATCACTGTGTTTTGAACCAAAGCACACATTTAATCTTTGATCTGTAGATTCAATAAATAGCTAATCTTTTTTTGTATAGTGACTTGGAGATGCTGATCTGGATCCATAAATGGAACTTTGTATCCTCAGGCACTCACGAAAAAACATGAAAATAGATTTAAGGAAAAATTAGGACATACATATACGTTACCAGGAGCATCCCATTGAAATAGCCAAGTCTGCACATTTCATATTGTTTAAGATAATTAAAACATATATATCATCTGTTTCCATTTTCATGCTATCAATCAATAATTAAACTCATATACAGTTAGAGAATTATTCTTCAACTTTCAATCTAGTCCTAGAATGCCTGAAAATCAGCCTCAAATCATCTCAACAATTAGTTGGTTACAGTTACAGAAATGGAAAATCAAACCATCATAACATCTACTGGTGCTTTTTGGGTATAATAAAAATGAGATATTGTAAACAACATTTACCTTACATACTGATTTTAAGGATTGATGGGGTAAAGAGTACTACTGAAAGTGCAAACTATAGCCCTATCCTTTAAGCCAAACACTAATGCAGAAAGTTATGATAACATCGTTATTTTAAACACATATAATGTGCTTACCTGTTTACTTGTTTCTTTATTGAGAGCTTACAAAAGTCAACCAATACCTTATTTCAACCTTACAAGGCTTAATGATGATTAGACTTAACCATTGTTCCAATTCCTAGCTGCTTTAATAAACATGTGGCCAATTTTCTCTCCAAATCGATAAGTTATAGTTCCAGTCAAGAATAAGAATATGATGAGGGCAAAAGCCATGATGATGATGATGATGATGCAAGGAATCCCAAATCCGAGACCCCAACTAAAAATTTTCTTGAATGTAACTAACAACAAAGATTCCCACAGCAGGAAGCCAAAATGCCACCAATTGAAGAAGGAGTTTTTAGCTTTGCTTTCTTGTGGATTGTCAGAATCAAATTGGTCAGAATGCCACCAATTGAAGAAGGAGTTTTTAGCTTTGCTTTCTTGTGGATTGTCAGAATCAAATTGGTCAGCCCCGAAAGCTTGAACACAGGGCTTGTGGCCACCTTGCGCAAATGTGACAAGGTATAGTGAGATGAAGAACAGGATGACTTGGAGTTGAGGAGAATAAGGCAGTTTCACAATCAAAGTGGAAAGAGCCAGAAACGCAAGCGCTTGTTAATTGTAATCAAATTTCTCATCGATATTGGTGATGGAATTGATTTGTATAGGCATCACAACCCTGAATTGTAGCAATGGAAAACTGAAATTTAGGATTCGTGGGGGAGAGGGATCATGGGATGGTTGGCCCTCAATGGATTCAACATCTAGGAGATTAGAAGTTTGACATCGATGGAGGTTGAAGAAAGTGGAAGGAGACGTCATGTTTGGATGGATGCTTGAGGCAAGAGAAAACTGAAGAAACTGTAATTAATGAGTTTATGCGGCCAGGATTTGATGTTGAAGAAATACTAACAGCGGTTTTTCACTCCCGCTGTTAGTAATATTTATAATTTGAAGAATCATGATATCTTGATAATTAATATTTGACTAGAAAAAACGAATAAATTGTCTAAATGGCAATGTATTTTTCTGCATTCACCTTCAAAGAAGATCGGACAATCTAATTTTTTTTTTTTTTTTTGAACTTTCTAGATTGGTTTCAAACTAAATAAGGCTATTATTATTATTATAAATAAACATTCCAATAAAACAAACTTAATTTACAATTTCAGTACATTGTAGAGGAAAAATCAATTTTTTATTTTTTTTTAAAATAAAATTCAAAGTAAATCCACTAGAGACCAAACATGTTTGATATAATATAATAATTCGACAACCCTCTTCGCCTCCCTTCTTTCTGGTGCATTTTTACATGCCGCCTACAAGCAACATTGACAAACACATATGAAATTAGTTGGTAATAATAAAATATAATCAATAAAGAATATATGAAAATAGCAATGTACCTGCATTACTTCCCAAGATTTCCACTAAACAAAATATAAATAACATGTGTAATATTTATTGAAAGTAAGTTGATTTTTTTTCCTCATAGTTGTAAAAGTAATAAACCATGGGACTAACAATAAAAAACCAAAATCTCTCTCTCTCTCTCTCTCTCTCTCTATATATATATATATATATATATATATATATATATATATATATATATATTGCTGTGAGTCTTTGCTTTTGGTAAAGTTTACTCCTTTTTGAACGGTTTGTTCGGTAATTAGCTATATATGTTTGGGTTTAGTTTTATTTATATCCAGTTAATTTCTGCAGTAGTATGATTTTTATGGTTATTGACCATCGTCTAGACATCAAGCTTACTAAAGCAGTTATCTAGCTTTTAATATTTCCAGCCACTTAACTGGTCAATTAAATAATCTAACCATGGTAAAGAATCACCCAAACGATCCATTCATTATTTTGATGGTTTGATCAAACATCACTTCCTATGACTGACCTTTTGAGTGATTTTTCTATATAGTTCTTAACATATGCCTACCTCCCTTTACTGTTTTTTCAAACAACCTTTTTCAGGTGTACCACAATGTTCCTAAATAAAAATACATGGTTGAAGTTGAAAATGGTGGTGGAAGAGACACTAAAATTAAGCCCCACTCCACATCGGTGATCCCACATGAAAGCTTAAGCCATTATCAAATTGGTTGTTACGACATCCTTCCTAAGATTGTTTTTTTTTAATCAGTGGGTGGGGTATATATAGGAAGAGATCCAAGCACCTACTTATTTACTATATTGTTCTTTAAATATTCCACTAGAATCCAAGATTATGAGATGTCCTTGTTCAAGTGCAATAGTAGGCTTATAAAAACAGAGATGATGTAAAGTCTCACTTGTTAAGAAAGATAATCTCAAATGCCCATCTGGATTTAAATCATCTCCAACCATAATACTATCTCCCTCATATATATTCTATTCTCACCTCCTTGCTAGAATTTAAATTGATCTTGCATACAAACATGTAAAAGACAAAGTTAGCAAATATTCTCCCCAAAAAACATATCTTGCATACCAATTAACATTTCCTACTACAAAAAAAGACTTTTTCACAAATTTTATGACAAAATCCTACTTAGTTATAATCCATAATTTGATGAAGCTACACAAACAAGGAGAGAGAGAAAGAGAGGTAAGAAAAAATTTTCTTTTTACAAGCAATAAGCCAATAAGCAAAGCAACTATCAAGTAGAGCCAGTCCTAGACATGAGAGACATGGCCTTTCTCAAGTCCAATGATTTTAGAGACTCGGGAAAATTCTTCCCCTGTACCTGTGGTGGGACCCACAACCCACCACTATGAGGTGATAGCACCTGTGATTGGGATGACCCACTTTCTGGAACTTCTTTCGCTTTCTTCACAAATTCAAAGAATTCTGCAACTTGACGAGCATACCTTCAAAAATAGACAATAAAAAGTTAGAATTTAATATTATTATACGAGTATAACATGTAATTAAAAATAGCTTACTGCTGCTTAGCTTCAATATCCTTTGAAAAGTCAATGTTGGGTTCACAATCAAGAACCAAAGCAGGGACCTGTTTGTTACATACACACACACACAAACAAAAATTACATTAGCAACTAACTAACTAACTAATAGACTTAATTAAACTATAAGGGTTACCTTTTGAATACTTGAGTGCATATGATTGCCTTCCAAATAGAAAACCTGATCTTTTATACCAGGATGCAAGGAGGCATCCATGTGAGGGGGAAGCTTGCTGACAGATAAAACACCATGATTTCCAGTTTCAAATGGTAAAAGCCAGCTCTCATGTTTTTCATGCAGACCACGAAGATAATCAAGGCTTACTCCACCTTCTTCTTCTCTCTTGCGTAGCATCATTCGTTTGTGGCAGGTATCAGGGCTTGCTCTCAGATAGATGAATCCATCTGGAATAAGTCCAGGAAGAGATGAAACAACTGGATCAAACCATGAATCATAAATGCTGATTTCCATCTCATTCATCCAGTTTGCTTCATGAACAGCTCTCACAAACACCTTCATCAAGTAAGTACCAAAAGTAAACAGCCATCAGGAAAGGTTAAAATTACCTAATTATCCCTAGCTTTAAACAACTCATTATCTGTTTGGTTCTGATTCTTTATAAATTATAAGCACTTTGAAAAGACATATCCAAACAAATCCCTTAATCAATTAAATATCTCATTATTCGATCATTTAGCTCTAGTTCTTCAAGTTGCAATAACAACTATTACACACCCCCTAAACTAACATTTCCATGGTATTGTAAATATTCACATATCATTCGGGGGCAAACTTTGTCATTCAAGTTAAAGCTAAATTGCTATAGTAAAAAGGGTCAAATGCAAGAAATAACATTGAACTTTTTCATCTATTTGGTATTATAGCATTCTGCTTTTACTTCTTTTGATTTTTATAGTTTTTTTCTTATTAAAACATTTTACTTTAAAAAATCACCCATTATAGAATTGAACTTCCAATTTGTTTCTTATTAGGATGTTGCCCTTTGAAAAATCAACCCAATTATAGAAGTGATAACTGCTTTAAATTTTGATAACGTTGACATGATTGGGTGGATTTTTCAAAGCACAATATCGGTAATAGGAAAAATGAAAGTAGTATGTTCTAATATAATAAAGATATCAATGAAAGTACATTAATTTAACCCTATTAAAAACAGAGAATTTATAGAACAAATGGCATAGTTCGTACCATTCTATCACTGAAAACACTTCTTTCCATCAACCTGAGAGGCTTAATTCCACCAGATGATTCTTTCTCCTGCATAACTCTTGTAACAAAGACATAATTTTGGAAGGTGTAAGCATACCTTTGTGGCTCAGAATAAAAGGCATCTAAAATGTTAAAATGATCAGGTCCAATATCCTGCCATTTATCAATAGGTTCAGGAACAATCTCAACAAGATCCTGAAGCTCAAGAGTCTCATTAGCAATTCTCTTCAAGAAAGTTGTCTTCCCCACACTTATATTTCCTTCTACACAGAAAGTAAGCCGCTTCTTTTGGGCTGAAATGGCATCAGAATTGGCACCACCATCTTTCATTTCTTCATTCACGCTCTCTTTGATGAAGGTGGTTATACTCTCAGCATGGTTTCTATGTATAATGCCCACAGAGGATTGTAAAAACTCGACCATCTTCTGATTCGATTTCCCATAAAACTGTTACAAGAACAACATAAAAACTCAATTCAAAAATTTTATATTTAAACATCAATCTCAATGCAACTATCTCCAAAGAAGAAATCCATTAAAGCAATCCAAGAACATCAATTTGAGGGAAATACCTTGTCCTTGTAGATTTTCTTGAGCTCAGCAACACCAGCAATGCCATTCTCCACGAGCTTCCTCAAGTTCCTCGGTCCCACGCCTGGAATTCTCAACAAATCTGGATTTCCGGGGAGTAATGGAGGAGGACTACAACTACCACCCAAAGAACTCCTCTGCCTCCTGTTTAATCTCGCGGGCTTCACCTCCGAAGCCGACAATCCTTTCTCAGTCTCACCGCCACCGCCACCGCCACCGTCGTCTTCACTATTCATGGCAGAAATCGGAAACCCCTTATCGGATGAGGTAGAAGAGGTACGAAACCAAGACAAACGAGACCCACTACGACTCTCCTTAAGCACAACCCATGCTCTATCAGGGACAGTTGTAGCACTCTCGATGGAGCAACGGCAAATTCGACATCTATTACCAGAGCTCAAGGCGTAACGAGGGGAACTCGAAGACGTGGTATAATTACACATGGAAATCATGGGGTTCAGACCACTAAGAGAGGGAGGCATACCGGAACTACGTAACTGTAAAGCGGTGGCAGCCGGCGGCATTGAGAAGGGAAGTGAAAAGGGACTGTGTTGCTTAAACCTTAGAGAATGTAAGGTGCGTTTGTGGATATTTTGCTTAAACCCTAGAGGGATAAGGGAAACATGAGGGGGTAATATAGTGGATAAAGGGCTCAGGATGGGGGCCGCAGAACAAGGGGTTAGACGCAGCAGCTTCTGCATAACTTCCAAACATTTCCTTGCAAAAATCACTATCTTCTTTGTCTTTTTGCTTCGCTTTCACTGTAATTTTGCCGTACGGCAATTCAAGTTGGTATTGAAAACCAGGAATGATGGGAGAAGGAAAGCGTTTTGTGTGTGTTTCACACCATAACCATTTCCTTTCTTTATTCCTTCCTCTTTTTTGCCCTAATATGTTGGGCTTTGGAGCTCCATTAGACTAGAAATTACAGTGAGAAGGAAACTAAAAACAAACAAGGAATGAGGGAATCTACAACTCAGTATCAAAAAATACATGACTTTTTCACCATCAATTTGTTTATTTATCGCACACTTATCAAAGAAATATGTTTTTCATATTTTAATAAAAAAAATAACTATACAGTATATAATATAGGAAAATTGAGTAATCTATTTATTTTTATATTGTTTTTTAACGACATGGTTGGTTTTTTTTTTTTTTAAACTAATCATCTTGTTTCGGAATGGAATATTCCTAAGTCCATTTCGGATTGACGTCATTAGTCTCGGCCCATTCCGGATACAAATTATTATAAAGATTATTCTGGAATGCATTCCAGAATATCATCATATTTCATACTAAGAGAGCGAAAAAAGATATGTCATCTCATTTTGAAGATTTTGAGATTTTACATGAGCAAATCCGTAATGATACTTTTAAACTTTGAATGTCCCCAAATTAGGTAGTTTTTTAGTACCTTACGTTATTCAAAATTGAAAATTTGTAGTCCGGAACGCATTTTGTAACACACAGAACATGTCCGGAATGCGATGAACTGCTTCGGAATACATTCCAGAAGTATTTTGATATTGTTTTTTGTTGTATTTTTTTTTTGTAGCATGACAACGTTTTTTATGCTTCTCTTACAATATATTGCAAACCTGTAATTGGTGCAGATGTTCTTACTAAGCTAAGGGTCCGACTTCCATGCAAGACTATCTTCTGAAAAACGTATTTTGGTAGGTGGTTAGATATTTCTGTCGAGATAGAAGGGGATCATTTGCTTTTACATTATGTTTTCTGCAAAGAAGTTGTGACGTTCCCTCCAAGCCAGTATAGGAAATGTTTTTTGAGATCGACGAATAGGAGTTGACATTTAGGAAGAGGGAATTTTGCCTTGTCACCAGCTTCCAATTTGGTGAATATTTTGCAGCCTCGGATTCCGGTAACACCTTTTGATTACGTGTGTTTCCTAGGGTCAAGGCAACTGAATCGGTAAAAATGAAATGTGTTATTGATGTCTTTGACACATTTTTCATGAGTTATCGGAGGATGATGTGGTCCGAGTCATTATATTATATATGTTAGAGAAGCGGTCCAATGATAGGTTACCTCGTCAACCTGTAAATGAGGAGTATTTCGGTTTGGTTTCAGGTATCGTGGCGTTAAATTATAAATATTGTAGTAATGTTATTTACGGAATTGATTGTGTATTTTTTTGGTGTTGCAGATATCTATGAGGGAGGATAATATGGGATCAATTGTACTCTCAATTAGAGACGATATTCAATAAGCTTTATAGGCTTATTTATCTTAAGAAAGAAAAAGAAACACCACCTTAAATTGACGTACAGCCTAAGCGGATTTTCATACGCTGTTAATGTAAAATGCATGATTATCCATTTGACATTTTCTATTTTGTTAATATTTTGATACATCATTCTTTCATATATGGATTCTAGAGAGTTTTCCAAACGATAGTTTGTTTGGTACCCCGACAACCACACGTGATCCCTCAGGTTATTAGATGGTCTAAGATTAGGACTTTAAAAAGGAGGAATGCAGTGCGTTTCTTGATGTTGAGTGAGTGTGATTATTTATATAAATTTTACATTTTCACCCATATGTATAATGATGTTAACATTTGATATACAATCATGTTAAGAGGATAATAAACTTATAAAGAAGCTGCAGCCGACAATAGATGAGAGTGGTACGGTCTGGTGGTCTTTTAGCTTCGCATGGATTGAACGTGATGCTTTTCCTACCTCTTAAATTCATAGGACACCGTCTCTCACACCATCACCTCGCATTTCCTCTAATTATGAGCCTCCACACAGGTAGGCATGACAAGATGCTGCCAAAAGTTCATATGCATCCAACCCACCACCAGCATCACAAACTGTATCACCAATAGATAAGGAAAAATTACAATGGATTTGCAAAAGGCGCTTCAAGAATGTCGTAAGTTGGTGGAGGCACGTGAGATGCGTATTTTACACTTGAAGTTACGATAGGGATACATGTACATCCTAATAAAAAGGATGAAAGACATGATGATGGTACCTCACATGGGTTGGAGGTACATTCTTATTTAACTCCATTACATTGTTATTTAACTTTATGGTATACACGTTATTGCATCGTTGATAATTTAATAGTATGAAACCGTTAAATGATTATAAGGTGACAAGACTACCCCCGTACAACCATTTATCGTAGAGGACCGTGGTACTTTACAGATGATGATTTTTAGAAACATGATTTTGAGGTATGTAAATAATTACATATGTGTTTTTACACGTTATAGTGTTAAAAACTTAATTATGTATAATAATTTATTTTTGTAGTATGAAGGACAGTAGATGGCTACTATATAGATTGTAATGTCCCATTTTCACAACAAAAAAAATTTCATTTTAAATAAGGTAAAACTTCCTAATTATAAATCCATTATTAAGAAAAATCGTTTATTCCAAAATACATTTATCGAAAATCGGAGTAATATAAGAAACGCGGAATCCTTAATGTTGTTGATGAGTGTGTAGAGTCTTGCTTTTGTCTTCCCACGATCGTCGATAGAACCCGAAAACATAAACAACTGGGTAAGCACAAAGCTTAGTGAGTTTTTGTTGAAACCCATTTTGACGATCGGTTGGTGCGGAATAATAAGAACATCTTGAGATTTAACGATCATAAAAATATAAATGAAGAACATAAGATGAGTAATTCCATGATTTTACTAGAAAATAAAGATAAAAATAATACATGAAGAACATGGGTTGGAGAGAGATAACTCTCCCTTGGTGGGAAAGATCCCACCACACTTTCTCTCTCTTGGAACTACATTTTTTAGTGCACTCTTTTTTACAATGACCACCTCTCTCTATTTACAGGGAGAGGGAAACCAACAATACAATAAATGGAATAATAAACCTAACTTATCACTCATAACTTGTAGAACATTTTCATGCTCCAACAATATCTCCCTAAATGCTCGCAAATGATGATGGATACAAATAAGTGATAAAAGGCTAAAAATACATAGTAACCGACTAGCAATTGTGGTAATAAAAATGAAACATAATGAGAACCAAATGCTGAAATGTCTCTGAAACTCTGAAGTGTCTGTGGCCTCTGATGCTGGCCATGAATCTCTAAACAGTAAAGGTCTTCGACTTCAAAGCACCACCAATGAAGCAGAAAAATAAGATCCAAATCTTCAAACTAGTTATAAGCCCCATGAACAAGTAGAAGATCCAATCATAAAAACACTTCGACTTCAAGAAATCTGAAAAACATTTCTAGTTCTCGAATCATAATACACCCAAATTCTTCAAAAAGAATAACCTGCTAAAAATGTGAAGCATCCAAGAGTGAAGTCCGAATAATAAATAATGTGAGTCCAAAGACATAGTCTAGCAATGCTAAAAATTTGATCAAAAGATCAAAAATAAGTGTTACGTCACATCGCTGAAATAGTCTTCGCCTTCAAAATATCGCAAATCCAAACTCGAGAAATCATAAGATCTGAACCGGATGCAAACACAAAAGAATCATCATGTGGTAGAGTCTGAATAATAAATAATATGGAACCGGGAAACATCTAGTACTGCCAAAAATTTGATCCGTGAAGACCAAAAATCAGTGCCACATCGCATCACTAAATAAATCATCGTCTTCAGAAGTCTTCAAAAATCCAAACTCAAACAATCATAAAACCATATCCGGATGATATCATAATATTCTCTCCCTATTTTTGATAACCGATGACCGGATATCAAAAATAAATATATCATCGGGATGGAGAGTGTCGGATACCAAGAGCTACGCAAGCTCGCCCTAGATGTATAAAGGGCCTCGATAAAACACGAGAATGAGAGTAAAATAAATACTCTGCGTCCATATGTAGCTGGCTGATTCAGTCGCTGAAAACTGCTCGATCAAATACCAAAGTAACAATAATAACTCTGCATGAAAAAATCTCTGTTGTGCTGAATAATAATACCGATATACCCAAATTGCAGTGTCGGAACTCCCGAAGTGGTCTTCAAAAAGAAATAAAGTCCACATGCTCAAGATACATGGTTCATCAACCGGAGATCAAGAGCGACAAATCATAAAAATCTTCATGAAGCGATGAATGCGAAACAACTTTGTTGATCAGGTGCCGTTGCGGTACAAACATCGCGATGAATAATATGATGTCCGACTGCGGTATGGAGTAATCCACATGGAAAGAATGAAATCCTTCCAATATAATCAGCATGAAGTAAACTAATGTGACTATCATAGGTTGGGTTGTGGCAAAAATTGGTATTAAAAAAATAATTGGTTTTAAAAAAAAAATTGGTATTAATAAAAAATGGTTTTAATAAAAAAAATTGGTATTAAAAAAAATTGGCTAAATAAAAAAATTGGCTGGAAAAAAAATTGTTGTAAAAAAAATTGGGTTTAAAAAAAATAAATGGTGTTAATTAAAAAAAAGGCTAAAAGAATAAAGGAGAAAGGGGGCTGCTATGAGAGGGGGAGGAGGAAGGAGGAGGAGGCTGAAGTGAGAGGAGGTACATCAGAGGGAAGGGTTCTGCGGGTTTGAGAAGACTGCAGTGGGAGGGAGGAGTAGGTTGCGGTGGGAGGGTTGATGGTTAAGGGTACCGGAGAGGGAGGAGTTGCGGGTGAGAGGTCTGTAGTGGAAATGGAGGAGTATCGAAGTGGGAATGAGAGGCTGGAGGAGCTACCGAGGATGAGAATGTAGGATGGTTGCAGTGGGAGTTAAAAAGTTTGGTTGCGGTAGTAGGAGTATGGGTTGCGGTGGGTAAGAGTCAGCAGTAGAAGACTTCGGTACGAAGATAGGAGGCTGAGGGTGAGGTAGAAGTGAAGGCTGCGATGCGAAACCAGAGAGGGATGACTGCGGTCAGAAGTTGCTGTCTCTCGGATATTTGTAAGAGGGTCTCCGGTACTAGGCCCGAGAGGGGTATCGCAGGACTTCTTATGAGA